GGGGGGGGGGGGGGGGGGGGGGGGGGGTCAAATGAGGTTCAAACTGAAATTCTGGACATATTGGGATTCAGTAAGAGGGAACTTCTATTTAGATGTTTGGGGATCCCTCTAAGTACTAAGAGAGTCTCAGTTATCCAATGTCAGCCTCTCCTTGACAAAATGTTGGGCAAAATCAAGCCATGGACTACAAAATTCTTATGAGAAATTTTCATAAAGCACTATCTTTTAGTAGTAATTAGCCATCTATAGATACCATTTGCTATATTACGGATCATAAATACCTTTTATGTGGTTATAAGATGTATTTGATGTATTTAAGCTATTGTATTCATGAATACAATAGCAAAAATAGGCGTGAATCAGGGAAGTCCAGCTAATCAGTTATTGTATTCGAGTGTATTCGACTGTATTCATGGAGTGAAACAATTACAGCTGGACAGATTATTGTATTCAACTGTATTCACGGCGTGAAATAGGGGATTACACTGTTTTTACAAGGGAAAGTGAATCAATTAACATAATAGACTCCTAATATAACTCAACAAACTCAATTATAACACACAAATTTTGTATTTTCAGTTATAAAAAAGATTCTCAACCGAAAAATACCCCAAAAACATAGCAATTTTCAGAAAAATTATATAATACATCCGAATACATAAATTATATTAATTAAAAAAATATATGAATACATTCATGGCATATAACGAGACAGTGAATACATAGAATACAACGGGATACATTGAAATACAATGAAAAAAAAAACAGTGAATACAATAAAATACATGGAATACAACGAGATACATTGAATTACAATGAAAAAAAGACAATGAATGCAATGAAATACATGAAAATACATTGAAATATATTAACAGAAAATCAAGTTGCTCAGCCCCAAACTTCGTCGTCTTTGTTCAAGAACAAACCCTAAATTCCGGCGAATCTGTCGCTCTCTGATGGATCCAAAGGCAGTGAATTTTCACGCGATTAAAATAGCTACTCTCAGAAATTCAAAACTTTACACGTATTAATCAACTGGGATTTGACAAGAATAGATATATAATATGTAGATGTCTTACCAAGAATTAATCTTCTCCACACTAAATAGTATTTTACGGAGCTTATAGTGTTAAAGTGGTAAAATATTATATGGGGTTTCTGCAGGTTGAGAAGATGTGCCTAAGCAGGCTTCTTGGGTTGTTCAGAAGATACTGAAGACCACCAAATACTTTGATGAGGGAGGTTACACAATGACAGAGGTGCAGAATATGGAGCGTTTCTCTACTAAGCATTTCTACATAAAGCTAAGAGGTGAGTTCCAGAAAGTGACATGGAGGAAACTAGTGTGTAACAGCATAGGTCTACCTAGATGGATCTTTACTCTAAGAATTGCTGCACATGGGAGGCTCTATACTAGAGATAGGTTGTTCAAGTGGGGGGTGACTACAAACCAAGTATGTCCTCCGTGTGATCAAGATGATGAGTGCATATCACATTTGTTTTTCATATGAGGTGTCTGCAACAATATGGAAGAAGCTGCTCATGTGGTTAGGAATCAGAAGACCTCCAATGAACTGGGAGGACGAGCTACAATGGGCTACACTATATGCTAGGGGTAGAGTCTTAAAGCTGAAGTTTTCAGAATGATGCTAGTTGCTGCAGTATACCATGTGTGGAGGGAAAGGAACTATAGAGTTTTTCAGGGCACAAACCAAAGTACTGAGATTCTAATTAGGCAGATTATCCAGGAGATCCATTGTAGAGGTGCCACGAAAATACAAATTGCAAAGTGGCTTAAGGGGTTCAATAGTTACACACAGTAGATTGGTTTTTGAGTAGCTTTTGTTTGTTTCGCTTGTTGCTTCTTTTGAGCTATGACTGACCGTTGGGACATGATGTCCAACAAGCAGTTTTTTGTGTACTGTCCATATGTTTCAATTGGTAATAAAGTTAATTAATTACCCAAAAAAAATTAGTTTGTAATACTGAAATATAGTTCTTAACTCTTTACAAATCAAAACAAGCACAGAAAGTCTACTCTTTGTTAAGCTCAGCTCAACTCGTTTATGATTACTCAAAGCAATGTGTTAAACTAAATACAGTATACTGTTCTGCATTAGAGAAATTGAAAAAAAGAGTCCCATAGCAACAATGGATCTAGATCTAGATATGTTTATCTTTCTCGTTTGTTGCTTCATTGGGTAAGACACAAAACAGGATTAGTAGAAGTGCAAACAAAGAAGTTAAGCATAGATATCTTCAGTAACAAATGATGTTTCGATATCCATACAAGTGTCAGGTGGACACTGAAGTTGTTCATAGTTTATTTGGCGAGAAGCTTCATATACAGCAATACCAACACTTACCGATAAATTCAAGCACCTAACATATGTTTCAACCATGGGAATACGTAGAGTTCCTCCTCCAAGATATTCACTCTTGCAATCAAGCAGGGCTTCAGGTGGTAATCCTTTAGTTTCTGAGCCAAATACAAGCCAATCACCCTTTTTGTAGGAGAAGTCCTGCATCAATGATACTAGAGTTACACCAAATTCGCATTATAAGGAAGGATTTGCTTGTATTAATCCGGCTTTCATCGTGAAAGGGAGTGGATCGGCACGAATACCCTTAATTAACATAGTGTGTTTCATTAGACAGGGAACCTTAGATGAAAAAAGCAACAATGCTTGGCTTGGTAAGAACTGTAAGAGGAAAATCTTCGGCTTGTCAAAAAAAAATACTTGTGGGCCAAGAAGAGTTCCAATTTAGCCATGTTCATTACAGTTTTCAATTGCAGTACAGTAAGCAAAATGGAAAGGATAATGTTTGCTCCTTTTGTCCATCTATTTGAAAACAAATAAGTTTTGGTGTCTACCCATTCCTTGTTTGTTCTATTAGAAATTATTTTCCTTTGTGCCTTCCCAGCTCCTACTTCTCCAACCTCAGAAGCCAACGAAAACGAAAAAACAAGAAAAGACTACCAATTTTTTGTATGGAAAGATCCACAATAGCTAACATAGTTCCTTTTCCTTTAGACAGACACAGAAGCAGCATTTGGCTTCTCGATAAAATGCTCACCAATCAATCAACTATGACTCAGCTTCAAACTTGTTGGAGTCACCAAGGAAGATTAGAAGCATACAAGATAAAACTGTAAGGAAAAACAAAAGCTGAAATCAACTGAGCTGAGATGCTCAAAATCATTTGAAATTCTTCGAACATGAAAGAGATGAAAAGTATTGAAGACAGGAAGAAGTGGTTGATCAAAAAAACTGTAGGATTCATCTAAAAGAATTTCGACTAGGCCTAAATTAATTTAAATTAAATAACTCTTGCACCCAAATACTTTATGGTCTATGTCAGATAAACTAGATGAAAATCTGCAGCACCAGCAAGTCAAGACAGAATAGATTATTTTCATTTTGCTAATAAATTTCCCGGGGGTAAAAGCTGAGAGAAATATAAGAGTAGAAAAAGCATTTAATTACTGAATGTGTAGTTGTTCCTCTCTTTGTAAATGCCAACAGCCTCTTTTCCCCAGCCTGAAGAGAAGGAAAAAGAATGATTTTAGTCTAAAATCTGAGTGTTTTGAAGCTAGATGAATGAGGTAAAAAGAGACCTGTCCCCTGAAATACTCGCGGAATTCATCCCAAGACCGATGCACTTTGACAACAACATATCTGTTGCAAAGAGTTAACAGTTGAAAACTTTATGAAAATCGCCAACCATACAACATAGAGATCTACACATACAAGCACAATAAGAGAACTCTTATATTTAAAATACTAACATTTGAAAACATGACTAAATGAAGAAACGACTGAATGCAGCAAAACAGGACAACCAATGAATAAAGCTATTGGTATTGAGCAGCTATTCATAACTCTCCAACTATATCAAATAAAGATGTAATAAGATCTGGCAAGTCAAGAAGCTGGCAAAAAAATCCCAAAAAATAAAATAAAAATAAAGACTATAGATGATAATCTGCAGTTTCACAACAGTTAGTAAGAAAACAAGCACGAAAAGATAATGAATAGTTTCAGATATCAGTACATCACATCGGAACACGCTCCTAGATTAAAGATATTATAAAAAATCACAACTCGTGAACTGCTGAAAGGATACGGCCAATAATCAAGTCCAGCGCGCTTCAACTTTGAATTATCAATTGGAAATCCTAATGGCTGCAGAAGCAAAAAAAATTAAAAGTTCAGGTCTTGATGTCACTAGTAATAGGAGCCAAGCAGATTTTACGGGTCAAATGTAACAGCTATTCTAGTCACCATGCAAGAATACTACAGAGTACAGAGATATTTAAACTAAGAGATATGCATAGACACCTCAACTAGGTGCAGTCCAACAGCTGATGCTGCACAAGTTCTTGCTATGCTTCCAGTGTTTCCAGGTATCTGTCCATACAGAAAAATAGAAGAGATGGAACCATTTAAGTCGTTTTGCAATCCAAATATATGTGTTTTAGTGTTTATGTGATAGTTAGTTTCCCTGCTTATGAAGATGAAGTAATAAGTACACCATGAAAGAGAAAATATAAACATCCTATAGCATAGACTGATAACATTGTATGATTCACCTATTTAACTTCTTTAAACTAACAAATTGCAGATAAAAATCATCTCCTGCTGAACCAAGCTGATGGACACTGTCAAACCTCAAACTGTATCAAAGCATCGGCTATCAATACCTTTTAATCAAAAGAATTTCTTTTTACAAACTCTTTAAGCTAGAAAAAAAAAACTTTAATTAGCTATGGGAGGCGGGGCAGGGGAGAGGGAAGAGAAAGAGAAATCTCCTTATTTTGTTAAGATAGAGGAAAGAAAAGGAAAGTTTCTCAAGAGGGACTAAACGAACTAAAAAGTTGGTTCAGTCAGGATAACATGCTTGGACACTGGACAGTCATGCGCTTCTGCCAGACTCCTAACTGTTCTTGTCACCCTCTCCAGTTCAACTACCACACAGGAAAAAATTGTCAAGAAGCTCGCAATAAAAAAGCACAATAACTTGGGGAAGACAAACCAGCTTATTTAATTAGGTCACACCATGTCCTACCAAAATTGGATCTGTAAACTTAGTCGGCACAAACCCAAATCGTTCCAAAATCTTGACATATGTCAAGATCTTAAGAAATAAAAGAACCATTAACACTGTTACAGTCCCTTATATCCTTAACATGTTAAGTGTTGCAAAATCATCCAACCAACTAATAAGCTCGAGAAAACTGAACTAGGATACTCAAGGTTGCAGCACCTGAATATTTTGGCCTCAGTGTGTGTCTGTAGCTCAAATAGTGAGACACTCACTAACTCTGTGTTTGAGATTTATGATTATACTAGACAGTTACTTCCAGTACGAACAAGATACTTAATTGATTGCATTTAGCGGAATTCTAACCCATCCAGAAATCAAGAAATGCCTAATTCACATTGCAAAACTTAGTAATTTGATTGGAAAAATTATATTGAACTTCCTTTATAGACAGGAACGTATTCCAGCTCACAAATTCCAATTCATTCATGTTCAGATAGCACTCTATCAATAGCATATCCAACTACTTAAGAGTAGCTTGTCAAGAACCTTAACCGTTTTATTGGTTATGAAAAGAAAGTGCAAGATCCCACTTAATACCTACTACTACTAGTCTCTCCTTGTTTATAACACATTCCTCTTATTTTTCTTGTTTTTATTATGACCGAGAAATCCATCTGAGACCGACCCTTAGGACCAACCGCAGCCTTCAAAACTCGGGGATAATGGACCCACCCCTCTATCCTTCTCCATTAACTACCAGGTTCAGTTCGTATAGTGCAGGGGCACAGGGCTCGAACCTATGACCTAAGTCCGAAACCCCACAACCTTTGCCACTTGAACTAAGCCCTGGGTGCTTTTCTCGTTATTTTTCACAATATATTCCTAAAACTAACTAATTGTATGTCCAAAGCTAGGGTAACGTACGAAGACAAAAAAGTGGATAATATTTGTTCAGTACCTGAGGAGAGACTAACACAACTTGCAGAAGTTTATTCTGAGCTTTTTCAACTGCTGCCTCGCCGGCTCCATTAGGCATAGCTATAGCATCACTTCTTACACCTGCAACAGATAAACCCAGCTTCAAGAAAACTATTTGGGGTTTCAATATATCAATTTAAGATAAACACGAAGCAGAAATTTAGAAAATGTTAGATTAATAGACGTACATAGAGAACGAAGTGGAGATAAACGTGAAGATGAAGATAAGAGAGGGAAATGGAGATTGTGCAATAAAAATGGACGGCATAGTGAAGCTTTTGCCCTGAAATGGAGAGGTGAAGCTACGGCGTTAAGGGTTTTTAAAGCAGCTCGGTCCATTCCGGCAGACTCCCAATGTCAATCTCCGCTATCACACCATTATCATCTAAGCTAAGCACTTTTCTGCACTGGTTTTCTCTTTCTTTTCTTTTTCTTTTTTGTCTTTTGTATAGAGTACATTTATTTGTTCGTTTTTTTTATTTTTTTCATTTTTTTTAAAGTAGAGAGAAAATGGCATGTTTAGTTCATGTGGACCGATACTAAGTGCCCGTTTGGCCAAACTGCCAAAATCTGCTTATTTTTGAAAGTATTTTTTTCAAAAGTACTTTTGAAAAAATAATAATTTGTGTTTGACCAATTTATTTAAGAAGTACTTTTTGCAATATTTGATAAACAAATGGTGTTTGGCCAATCTTTATAAAAAGTACTTTTGAGTGTCAAATTACCAAAAAGGATAGTACCGAGCTTTTATAATTATTTTAAAAAGAAAAATAAATTTAAATATTTATTATAAGAGACTGTTATTGTTTTTTATTTAATTTAATTAAAAACATAAAGTAAACATACATGCTAAATATTTAAATCATTGTAACATATATAGTTATACCAAAGCAATAATATTATCTAGTATAATTACTTGTTATTTACACCATAAAATAATAAGTAAAGTCACTCGCACATGATAATATTTCTCAACAATTTCATCTCTAATTCTATCACGCAATGCCTCCATAATAGTAGAAGACTTGTCTTGCATTTCTAAAGGAATACCAGAAGGCCCATCTCCTTCCTCAATCTCTACAGTAATGTCTTCCTTAGCATAATAGTTGAATTCCTTATCAGTAGAAGAACGTCGTCGGATGAAATTATGTATAGCCATGGTAGTTGTAACAAGATGAATCAGAGTGTCAAACTTGAAAGATGGCATTGAGCGTAAAATAGAAAACCTATTTTTCGACTCCAAATATTCTTTCAATTGTACATCGAAGACTGGAGTGAAAAAAATTGAATGCTTCATTTGGATTTCTAAAACTAGAGTTGTGCTTGAAATCTGGGAGATGATATCGCTCACTCTTATACGGTCCTAAATAACTCATCGTTGTTGGATAGCCTGAACCAACTAAATAATATTTACCTACACCAAGTAAAAAAGAGTTAATTAAGATGAATAAAAATAAAATCTACATATTAAAATAACACAAGGCATAATATTAGTGTTGCTTACCTGATGGAGGATGAGGAAAGTTAAGGTTTTGCCTTCTAAGTGCCTGATCAAATATTCTAGCATCATGTGCAATACCTTCCCACCCAGGCCATACGAATGTGAAGCACATGTCCAATCATATACATCCATTATGTTTTGTGGAGTGAAGCCTTTTCTACCAATGTATTTGTAACGACCTGACCGGTCGTTTTGAGCTCTAGCGCGTCGTTCGGCAATTTGAGGCCATGATCAGCTTCACTTCAGGTATTATGACTTGTACGCATGGTCGGAATTGAATTTCGGAAAGTTTGGAGTTGATTTGGAAAGAAAATTCTCATTTTAGAAGCTTTAAGTTAGAAGAATTGACTAAGGTTTGTTTTTTGAGTAAATGACCTCGGAATTAGGATTTGAAGGTTCCAGCAGGTTTGTATGATGATTTTGGACTTGGACGTATGTCCGGATCGGGTTTTGGATAACCCAGGAGCATTTCGGCGCCTGTTGTGGAAGTTAGCATTTTTGGAAGAATTTCATAAGTTTGGGTTGAAGTGCATTTCAGTGTTATTAATGTCCGTTTGGGATTCTGAGTCTGGGAATAGCTCTGTATGGTGATTCTGGTATTGGGAGCGTGAACGGAAGTGGATTTGGAGGTCCGCAGATCATTTTGGATCATTTGGCTAAAGTTAGAAATTTGAAGGTTTTTGAGAAGTTTTACCGGAAGTGGACTTTTTTATATCGGGGTCGGATTCCAATTCCAGAAGTTGGAGTAGGTCTGTAATGTCAAATATGACTTGTGTGCAAAATTTGAGGTCAATCGGACGTGATTTGAGAGGTTTCGGCATCGAATGTAGAAGTTGAAGTTCTAAAGTTCATAAAGCTCAAATTGGGGTGTAATTCGTGATTTTGACGTTGTTGATGTGATTTGAGGCCTCGAACAGGTCCGCATTATATTTTGGGACTAGTCGGTATGATTGGACGGGTTTCCAAGAGCCTCGGGTGGATTCCGGGTGGTTAACGGATTGAAAATGGAATTTGAGGAAGGGCTGAAGCAGCTGGGCTTCTGGTGTAACCCACCTGCGTGAAGAGCACCGCAAGTGCGAGCCCTCCGGAGCGGAAGTGACTCGCAGAAGCGGATTTTGCTGGAGAAGGAGTGGTCCGCAGATACGGTCAAAGTCCGTAGAAGCGGGACCGCACCTGCGTTCATGGAGCCGCAGATGCGGAGTTAAGGGGCCTGGTGAATGACCGTAGAAGCGGTAGTGGGGCCGCACCTGCGGAACCGTAGAAGCGATCAAGTGACCGCATGTGCGAAAGTCAGGGTTGGCAGTGTGTCTCTTTAAAACGAGGGGTTTGGCTCATTCAACCCCATTTCCTCCATGGGAGCCGGTTTTGGAGCAACTTGGGAGTGCCATTTTCACCACCAAGCATGAGGTAAGTAGTTTATACTAGTTTGAGTTAAATACATCGATTATGCATATGTTTTAACATGGAAATTAGTAGAAATTTGGGAGTTGAGGGAAACCTAGAAATCTGGTATTCTTGGATTTTGACCACGATTTTGGACATGAAAGAGTAAATTATATATTTGAGCTCGTGAGGTTATGGGTAAACCTTATCTTCAAAAAATTTCGGAATCCGGGCACGTGGGCCCGAGGGTAATTTTTATCGACTTTTCGATCGGGGTTAGAAATTATTATAAATTAGATTATAATGAGTATTCGAGTGTATATTAATGGATTTGCATAATTATTGGCTAGTTTTGGAGCGTTGTGCATCGATTTGAGTGGTCGGAAGGGCTTGGAAGCCGGTTATGAAACTTCGGACCGAGGTAAGTCTCCTTTTCTAACCTTGTAAGAGGGAATTAACCCCATAGGTGAAATAATTAAATATATGCTCCTATTTGTGGGGGCTACGCACGCACGAGGTGACGAGAGTGCGTGCGTAGCTACTATTATGCTTAAGTTCGGGTAGTCTAGGACCCCAAAGCATGCTTTACTTGCCGTACTTGTAACTTATTGACAAATTAAAAGGCTTAAATCATATCGAACTTGGTAAATAAATTTCGAAAGGGCTAAGCATCACTTTCTTGACTGTTAAAAGAAAAGTTGTCTATTCCCCGGGTAATTGTCCCCTGATGAAGTCTTGATTGACTGTTTGGATATGTGTTTCTATGTTTACCCGCGTCGCATGTATGATTCGCGAGCGGGGTTTATAGATGCATCTATGGTTCGCTCCATTCGATCCTCTGGCAATGCACATTTTATTATTATGTTGGATCGGGTCGCACGACCTCGGCATGATTTGCGCATACTTGTATTGCTTGCCTTGATATTTATAAATAATGATATTGCCTCTCTCGCCTGAGATAAATTGATAAATGATGAAATACAAATTTGGAAATCTCTTATTATTAAAAGACTTGCTTCATGCTTATTGAGTTTGAAATCACTTTATAAAATCCATGCTTCTACACATTTTGGTATTTTATTATTGGACCACTAGTGAGTGTCGAAGTCGACCTCTCGTCACTACTTCTTCGAGATTAGACGAGATACTTACTGGGTACACGTCGTATTCATACTCATACTACACTTGCTGTGCATTTTTGTTGCACAAGCACATGTACGTCCAGTGGCCTCGTCGTACGCAGTGGCATGGTTGACACGGAGACTTAGGTGAGCTGCATCTCTCGTGACGACCCGCAGCCAGCAGAGTCTCTTTCAGAGTATTGTAATTCTTTTCTGTCCAATTGTATTCCGGACAATTATCGTATTGTACTTTATTTCCTAGAAATTGCTCATGCACTTGTGACATCGGGTTCCGGGACGACTATGTGATTATTCAGTATTTAAGTTGTTAAAGACATCATTATTTATTCAGTGAATTTCATTATTTGTTGTTGAAATGTAAGGAAAATAAATGATTTCAAAAATACTAAAATGAGAATTTAATGAACTTCTTGGTGTTGGCTTGCCTGACAGTGGTGTCGGGCGCCATCACGACCCTTAATGGATTTTGGGCCATGACTGTTGATGCCCAATTTTTTTCCTATGTACTTTTATATGCAAAATACTTTCAAAATAGCATGTACATGCATATATAAGCATGCCCAAGAGTGTTAGTATTTTTCCCTAATTTTTAAAGATTTTAAAATCAATTTATTATTTATTTTTAGCAGTACAAAATCCAATAATTATTCCCAAGATTATCATTTTGGTGAATAATTTATTTCTATTCTCATATTTACACCAAAATATAATTAAGGTGATTTTTGTATATTTTTACAAATTTATTTGGCATTTTTAAAGCTAAATTGCATGTAATTGCAATTATAGCCTATTTTACGATTAATGGCATTTTATAATTATAAAATTATTTCCAGTATTTTTAGATTAATATTTATATAGTATTTGTTGGCTCAGTGTTTTTAATTTACTTTTAAAATCATTATTACTATTTTTATAAAATAAAAAGGGAAAAATTGGCTATTTAACATTTAGCCCATTTCTATTTCGATTACAACCTCATTTCCTTTCAATTTTAACCTTAAATTGACCCCAATTCCGCCCCAAATTAAACCTAAATTACCCGACACCTGACCCATTTTAAAAACCCACCCGGCTCCCCTTTGATCTAGGCCGTCGAACGTTTTGATCAATGGCCATAAATTCCCCTTTCCTTTTTTAATTCCCAAACCTCCCTTGACCTAATTCATTTCACCTGAGACGCCGCCTTCGAACCCTCTTCGTCTCAAGCTCTCTCGAACCTCTCCGAAACCCTAATCGTTTCCCACCTTATCTCGCCATGTTTCCACCGGAATCCATGGCGTCTCCGGCTATGGACGGTCCGTACTCATCATTTCTCACCATCAGACCTAAGCTATTCAAGGTTTGAAGCCCGACTTCGATGGCCCTCTTCAGATCCTTCTCAGATCTGTAGATCTATGGTTTCTCCAGCCAT